ACATTCCTTTTTGCCCTTCTGATGGAAGAACAATTCTGAGGCAATGCCATTCTCTGATCACTAGAACAAGTGCTAAGAGCAGTCCTACCCTGTGTGCTTTATAATGCAAGTACATCTGTGTCCTGCTTCATCATCCCTGAGACATTCACATAGAGAGCAAAATTATAGGCCTACTTCGCTGATGTGCAGACTGAGGTCCAGAGGCTCACCTAAGTGCTTAGTAAATGGCAGAGACTGCTGCTTCCTTGATGAGATGGTCCCTGGGATCACCTGGGTTTTGGAAGTGAGGCCATACACACGAAATCCCCTCTCTACGGGTCAGTCATGTACCCACAACATACCCACAGCCCGTGTGAATCTGGGCTAATGGCAAGGACCCCAATCCCTGAACCTGGTCCTCCTTCCCATACTTCTAAGTGTCATTCCAGTTCCTAGGTGGCTGTCCCCCTATCCCTATGGGATCCTCATTTCTGGTTTTCTGCCAAGCTGGACAGTGAGTCATGCTGGTCACAAGGCTCCAGGGAGCTAATAGGTAAAGATACTTTACCTGTTTATGGGATGAAAGCTCCAGGAAAGGGGGCTCTCTTTTCTCCACTGGTCTAGCCTGAGCACCCAGAGTTGTGCATGGCCTGCAAAAGGTCCCACAGATATGAGTCCCTAACTGGGGAATGGGAGGCAGCTAAGTGGGAGGAGATTTGAAGGCAGGCAGGGCAACTGGGTTTGAGACATGAATTTACAACTTTTCATCTGTGTGACACTGGAAAAGTCCTTGTCTTTACCTGAACCTCTGTCTCCTCTTTGATGAAATGAAAATAGCAATCCCTGTGTCACAGGAGTAAATGAGGTGATACACACAAAGTACCTTGCACAAGAGAGTCACTCAACCATTCTCTCCTCCAGGTTGCACCACAAACTTCAGAATAGTATAGCTTTGTTCCCAAGGAGGGAAGGCTGAATAATTTGCTCCTAGACTGTGAACTCCTGGATTTTAGGGAGGGTATTTGTTCAAGGTCTCACAAAGAGCTTGTCACACTAATAGGATATAGTCTGAGATCTGCTTCCTGAGTCCAGTGCTCATTTGCAAGCAAAAGCATGTGACTCCATGTGCCCATGGCAGATGGGCAGAAATCTTGAACCAGATCACACACTATAGGAAGAGGGGAATACAGCACCTCCTACTAGGTATTTCTAAGGTCACCAATCTAAAGAAAAGGGACAAATAGAACAGGACCAGTATTTTTGCAGCCATCCAAATCTCTACATACCATTACACCAGTGGCTCCTCTCTTCTGCCTCAGCCCTACTTTCATTTAGAGGAGAGGAGACAGGCTGAGAATTGGTTCTGGTCAGTCTATAGGTAAGAAGCACACTGCACTGGGAACCCTAGATGAAGCTACCTACCTTCTGTGAGTCACTGGATTTTTCAGATTTAATTATCTTCACCCATAAAGGAGAATGATAAGAATAACCTGTCCCTTCTGGCCCAGGTCAGCAAGCTCAGAAGGACTACAGGGCATGTCATCTCAAAGGGGCCTTAAAGAGCAAGTCATTTAGTAGCATTAATTAGCTACAGAAGGTAAGCAGGTAATGCCCTTAGTTCCCCTTTTTGTCCAGGAGCTGCTCACAGCTGAGGGAATCTTTGCAACTTCAGTGAGGTATAGACTCAGATAGAGCTAACATGGGACATGTAACCTGAGTCCTGACTGTATGCACACTCTGGAGGACTCCCAATTTGCAGATCTAATAACTTTGAGATTCTCACACTAGTAATCAATTGACCTACAGATTTGGGGGAAAAAATCAAGATCTTAACTTCAAAGGGAAGGACCAACTGTTCTGCCTCCTGTTAAAACTCCACACACAAACTGCAGACTGGATGCCTTATTAACCTTGGATAGACACCCAAATGTTCAAAAGGCAAAACTCCTGTTTTTCCCACATCACAAGTCATTAATCAATCATGCCACTGAATGAATGAATAAATGATGCTGAAAAGGTGTTTGCATTGCTGAGAGTTCTGATGACCACTTTTTTTTGCAAGGTGAAATTTTTATTATGTTATCACAAGATATTGAGAGAATATTAAAAATACTATTATAGTTAACTGATGACCACTTTTGCCTGATACCTAACTCAATGTTTTGTGGTTTTCAACATGCTTTAGATCTAAGAGACACAGAGTATGGTGATGAGGATAGCAGATGCTGAGATCTGCCACTTTCCTAGGTTTGTGACTTTGTCAAATTGCTTAACCTCTCTGAGCCTCAGTTCCCTGCAGAGAATAATAGTCTCTTCCTCTCAGGGTTGTCATGAGGATTACAGGAGATAGTGTACCCCACTATCTATATTTGCTTAGCAAAGTACCTTGCACCTAGTGAATGGCAGGTATTCCTGCCCTTAGTTCATTTGAACTTCATTCTCAGAAAAACTTTGGAGCTTTTAGGAGCAGATGGAAGACCAGAAACTTGGTATTAGGGTAGAATAGCTGTCACATCAGATGCATATATTCCTGCAATGGGGCTCTCAATTTATTTATACATAAATCCCAGAGCTGTTCAAAAGAACTTTCCTCTGGGACAGATAGAATTTTATTTCAAGACACTGACTTAAGATGTGCATTTTTGGTTAGTTTGTTTCCCAGGAAAGAACAAGAGAACTAGTTCAGCCAAACCTGAAGCAGATATCTATGTTAAGGTTGCTTTCAGGATGAGAGGGAGTGGTGCAAGCAATGTGTTTCTAGATATCCATGGTTTTGTGAATGCAAGGTGCAGATCCTTGGATGTTATGGAGCATCAGAAAAACAACACACAATGGAAGCATCTGGAAATGCACAGCTAGATCCTACAAAGGGCCTCCCCTCTGCTGCTCACATTCTAGGCCCTAAAGTAACTTCTTTGGACAATAGGTTTCTTGGTGAACTCAGAGGTCATTCTGCTTTTAATCTGTCAATCTCTGTCCCTCATTTCTTAAGAATCCAGCTCCTGAGATCCTCAGTGTGTGCAGTAGAGTTCAATGTTAGCAGAGGGTATCTTCCTGAGGTCTCACAAATTGACCAAACACTAAAATTCAGCTGCTCTCACACCTCACCAAGAGCTGCCCCGGCTGGTCAATGATGGAAACATCACTTGCCCAGCCCAGCCAAAGGTGTAGGCTCTCTCTATGTCATCCGCTTTAGAGACCATATGTCTTCCAAGAAGACAGATGTGGTTTCAACTGTGAAGATGACTTTTCTGAGACAGCTGTTTTCTGAGTCCTGAGGCATATTTTTTGGATCCCCTTAACTGGGGCAAATCCTTAGTCTTCTAGGACAGTTTGGTATTTTCAAAATAGGTCACTTAGAGCCAAGGACAGAGAACAAGGTGTGACATGGAGGAGGAAGAAGGACTGATTGTGGTCAAGTCCAAGGTGTGACTTTAAAGCAACGAATGTGAAATCTTGGCAAAGCTTACAAAGGGCACTAAAGGCTATCTTCCAGGAAAGGCCAAGCCTGGAGATGGCATGAGGAATGATAGCCTCTCCAGAGTGAGAGCATCGCTGGCTGCTCCAAGGACTCATTCTAAGTACAATGCTCCCTGGGCATTGTGATCTACACTGCTTAGACTGAAGCAGTTACTTATGTGTTACATTTTTTAAAAGAATATTGGTGGAGTGGGAGAGACCCCTACAACTACAACCTACTTACCCTTTTCTCCTACGATTTGGCCCAAGTGAATGAAAACAAGTGGGAAATGAAGAGGCGGTCTAAAGCCACACTAAAACTGACCAGGAACTCTGGGGCCACTATTAGAGATTCTTCATTTACATACTCAGTTATTGACCATAAGAGAAAAGCATGAAATAAAAAGGGTAGTTAGTTAGGATGGAGGTTAAAAATTGCCTTCTAGAAGATACCTCACAAGGGGCTGGCAGTTTGGGGAACAGGTTGCTGGCCAAGTAATAGCTGTCATCTGACTGTCATTTCTGCCAGAGCTGGGATTCCAGTAAGTACAATTTTGTAGACATGTACACATTTAACTTCATAGCACATTCTCAAAACATTGTTGGCAATGAGGGGAAAAAAGGAGAAGCACGATTCAATCACCTCCCCCCCACACACACTCCCCCACACACACCTGGGCACATATCAGTATCCTAAAATAAATAAAGTACATTGCCCTGGGAATTGGAGAAGACAGGCCCTCTAATTATGTGAAAAGGCATTACCTCAGAGCCTAGGGCTCCTAGTTCTATGAACAGGAAGGAAGCAGACCCATGGCTCTATAAGAGCCATTTCCTCTCTGCTCTATTAATTTCAGAGATTAAATAAGCCACTCCTTTTGGGCCCAATACCCTAAGATAACAGCCATTGTGTTTGCAGCGACTCCTGCTAACTGAGTTAATCTCACTAGACTGGTGATGTTTTAGGCTTTTATTGTCAAATTCAACCAACCCATGGCTCTCATGGCCCTATCTATCATTGTCTTGGACTCACAGAACTACCACTAGAATCAAAATGCTAAATTTCAGACACTTGGATGATTTCTGGATTCCTAGGGGGGAAAGCAAAATTTGTCCAAAAAGTTGTAAAGAGGACACTAGGACTACAGAGTTGAAAGGGAACCCCTCTGTGTTCCCTACTCACTAGCTTCTTTCTTTTAGTCATATTAGGAAGTTAATGTAAGACATCTAGTGCTTTCCATTCTGGCTGGTTTCTATCCAAAGGAAAAGGAAGATTTTCTTTCCTCTCACCTTTCACCCTTTCCTCAATTAAAGGGGTTCAGTGCAGAAATTACTGGACTGAGAATCCAGATTGAGCCTTGGAGTATATTTCCAGCTCTTTCACAAACCCATGTGGGGCAGGAACAGCTCATTTTCTAGATCTTTTTCACATCACATTCAATTATATTTGGGTTAGACCCCTGCCATCAAGTTTGCATAGAGAATTTCAATAACACATCTTATATTCAACTTTAAGATTAGAAGCATTCAACACCCCCTCCCCCCATAGCCCATTTTCTGACCGATTCCTGGAGCTTTCTGGGCTCCTGGCGATTTCCCACCATGGCGAAATGGGGAAGCATGCTCTTGATTACAAGCCGACTTTTCCAGTCATCCATTGTTTGACCTGCAATTTTATTCTTGACTCTCCAAGGCGCTTCCCAAACGACCTAGACACAGGGCTTAGGGAGACAAAAAGTACACTGTCTTTCAGATATGAAGATGAGACCATTGACCCCGTGAATCACAGACTTACACTCTGAGGACAGGTTTGTGTGGAGTCAGCCACATTCCTTTTTCCGTCTCTCTCTCCACCCCAGAACCCTTGTTGAGCACCCCCACCCCCAGTGATGAAGGGTACTTCTGTGAGGCAGTTGGAGGGATGAAGTGGCAGTCTCTGGTCATGGGGCAGAGCAAGGTTTATTGGAGAACAGGGGGTGGGTGGAGGAGCAGCCTGATATTACTAAATAACACCAGGCACACAAATGAGGAATGTGGGCTGTAGGTCTCTCATTGCTTTTGAGTGGTATGCAATGGGACACAGGGAAGACTCTTCCATGGTCTGGGACACAGTTCCTTTGTATGAAGAATATGGTAGTTGGATCAAGTGATGGCTTAGGGCTCCTTCAGCTCTGTGAGAGTAAGTATTAGGACCCATAGAGGAGCAGATATCAACATGGCCCTGCTAGCGCCTAATCAAGTGTTCTGACCAATAGTTCAAAGCACAAAGTGACACTAGAAGGAAGCAATGGGTGCTGAAAGGAGCTCAAGAAACTCTAGTGAACTGGTTTACAGGAAACAAACTGAGCAGACTGTGACTATGGCTATTCCAATGTATGTGCTCTGTGATGGAGGAGCAGACATACAAACCCAGGTAAAGATGTCCTTTTTTTGTTTTCCACAAGGTGGACATGCGATAAGAGCTCTGCTAAGACATTCTTATACAAGAGCAGCCTGTTTTAACATAGATCTTCTTAGCAATATATTATGAGGCTCTAAAGTCTGAACTTCTATCTCTAGAAAGAGTGCTTTTTTCCCATTCTCCCATTGAGTATAATTAAAATTTCTTGACCTTTTATATCAAACAAATAAAGAGTCTTAAAGGTAGAAAGAAGGCAGAGTGGAAAGGAACCTTGGAATTTGAGGAGTTCCTTGGGTTTTCTTTTGCCTCATATATTCCAGACTTATTACTAAAGAAACCAGGGCTGGGGTTGTGGCTCGGCAGTAGAGTGCTTGCCTAGTGTGTGTGAGGCCCTGGGTTCGATCCTCAGTACCACATAAAAATAAATAAATAAAATAAAGGTATTGGGCTGTGGTTGTGGCTCAGCAGTAGGGTGCTCACCTCGTATGTGCGGGACCCTAGTTTCGATCCTCAGCACCATATAAAAATAAATAAGTGAAATAAAGGTATTGTGTCCAACTACAACTAAAAAATAAATATTAAAAAAAAGAAACCAGCAACTCAGAATGCCAGTAGGCACAGACAAAAATGTCTGCTCTTTCTAACCAGAGAACCAGGAAAGGGGTAACTTAGCAAGAAAGAAATTTTTTAGATAAAACTGTTCTAGTTCAGCTGAACACCGGAGAAAACACTGCAGTCCCATTCCATCCCATCAGCAAAGACCAATCAGGGATTCTAGACTCTACCTCAACTTGGCAGTAATGAGGCACTTCTCCACATCTCTGCTAGGGTGGTTATCAGTAGATGCCCAGTGGTGACCCAGAATTTTCATCCTTGCCTGGTTGAAATGAGGAGCCCTACCCTTTCTGACATTAACAAAGGTTAAATGGGAGAACCCATACTTCTATATCCACCTGGCAAAAATAAGATGGTGCCCCTCTTTCCCTGCCAGAGGCAGTATCAGAAGAAGTCAGGTACAACAGAAGATTGAAATAAGATCCACTTTTATAACATAACATCCCCAAATGTCTTGATTTCAAGAGAAAAACACTTGTCATACCAAGAAACAGAAATATTTAAAATGGAAAGAAAAATATTATCAACAGATGTGTCACCAAGATGACACACAGATGTTAGAATTATCTGACAAGGATTTTAAAACACTAATCATTTAAAAGCTTTAACCAACAATTACACCCATGCTTTAAACACAAAATAGAGAATGTCTCAACAAAAAAATTACACACACATACACACACACACACACATACACATATGAACCAAATAGAATTTTTAGAACTGAAAAACACAATATCTGAAACTTGATGCATGGGATAAAAAGGAACACAGAAAGGACAAGAGGGGAAAAAGTTAAGATGAAACAACAGAAATTACCCAATCTGAATGACAGAGAGAAAACAGGCCAGAAAAAAAGTGAACAGAGACTTGATGATATCTGGGTTATAAACAAAAGATCTCACAATCATGCCACTAAAATTCCAAAAGGAGAGGAGGGACACAGAATAGGAGTGAAAAAGTACTTAAAGAATTAATGACTGAAAACTCCCCCAAATTTGGCAAAAGACATAAATGTGGAAATTCAAGAAGCTGAGTGAACCCCCCAAAGTATAAATGCAAAGAAATCCACTTAAAACAATATATCAAAATTTGTAGAGCATAGGTAAATGCATGCTAAGAGAGAAATTTATAACATGCTTACATTACACATGAGGAAAAGTTTAAAATCAGTAATCTAAACTCTCATTTAAAGCACTAACAAAAGAAGACCAAAATAAATCCAAAAGCAAGAAGAAGGAAGGAATTAATAAAGAAGCAAAATAAATAATATTTAAAACAGAAATACAATAGAGAGAAACCCAATGGGAAAAGAGCAAGACAAAATTAATAAAATTGACAAACTAGTAATCTGACAATGAAAAAAAGACAAATACAAATGGCCAATATCTTGAATGACTAAGTGAATGTTACCACAAAACCTGCAGGTACAAAATGGATAAGAGGATGCTATGAAAAACTCTTCACAAAAATTTGGAAATTTAAATGGAATGAATTAATTATTCTAAAAGCACAAACTATCCAAATTATCCGATATCAAAAAATTGGAATATCCTGATATCACTTTGCACTCACTGGGATAAAAAAATACCACATTGCTGGCAGAAATGCAAAATGTTGCTGCTGTTGTGAAAAACAGTTTGGTGGTCTCTCAGAAAGTTGAAGAATTACCATTTGATTTCATAATTGCACTCCTAGACATATATGCCAAATAATTGCAAATGGGCATTCAAACAAATACTTCAAAGCAGATGTTCATAGCAGTAGTAGTCACAAAAATCAAAAGTGAAAACAATCTAAATTTTCATCAGGGGATAAATGGATAAACAACATTTTGGAATATCCATAAAGTGGAATATTAGTCAGTTATAAAAGGGAATGAAGTGTTGCTGGGCACAGTGGTGCACCTCTGTAATCCCAGCAGCTTGAGAGGGTGAGGCAAGAGGATCAAGTTCAAAGCCAGCATCAGCAACTTAGCGAGGCCCTCAGCAACTTGTCTCTAAATATAAATTTATAAATTAAAAAAAATCAATTAAGTAATTAATTAAAAGGGCTGGGGGTGTGGCTTGGTGAAGTGTCCCTGGGTTCAATCCTTGGTACCAAAAAAAAGGAATGAAGTATTGATATATGCTACAACATGGATGAATCTTGAAAACATGCCAAATGAAAGAAGTCAGTTATAAAAGGTTACATATTGTATTTTTTATATGAAATGTGTAGAAGAGGTAAATTCAAAAAGATGAAAAGCAGATTGGTGGTTGCCAGGGGCTAAGTGGAAGAGACATAGGAGAACTAATTGTTTAAAAATTGGTATTATGTTTTATTTTGTGGTGATGCAAATATCTAGGAAGTAGATATGATTCCACAATATTGTGGATGTTCTCAATGTCACTTAATTGTTATACAAATTTTGTCTTTATAAAAAAAATAGTGCCAGGTGCGGTGGTGCATGCCTGTAATCCCAGAGACTTGGGAGGCTGAGGCAGGAGGATTGCGAGTTCAAAGCCAGCCTCAGCAGCAGCAAGACGCTAAGCAACTCAGTGAGATCCTGTCTCTAAATAAAATACGAAATAGAGCTGGGTATGTGGCTCAGTGGTCGAGTGCCCCTGAGTTCAATCCCCAGTACCCCTCCCCACAAAAAAGTGACAACGTGAAATGCTGGTGAGGATGTGGAGAAACTGGATCACTCATCCATTGCTGGAGGAAATGTACAACTGTACAGCCATTGTGAAAAACAGCTGAGCAGTTTCTTAAAAAATAAAAAATGTAGCTACCAGCAACTGCACTGCTGGATGTTTATCCAGAGACATGAAAGTCATTATCTAAGATGTCACTTTGGGGGAAACTGGGTGAAGAGTACAGGGTTCTTTGAACTATGTTTGCAACTTCCTCTGAATATCATCATTTCCCAATGAGGACCTAACTGCTATTAAAAAAAAAAAAAAGAGTTCAGGATTCATATCCAGGGAGATCACTGATTCTTCTTTGTACTTCTGGGACATTTTCTACATAGCATTCTTTCTTCAAGCAATTTATACACATTTTGTACCCACCTTTTTTATTTTCTAAAATTGTCCCATCCAGATGTTCCCTATTTCAGGAGCCAAACATGAGACCTCAGCTGTGAACTGACTCCAATATTATGATCTAGAAACACCAAAATGAAGACAAAATGGCACATAATATACAGCATACCCAAATGAAGAAGGAAAAACAAGACCACAGATATACTGCAGAGGCCATCATGAACTCCCTGGCCCAGGCAGGCCCAGCATCTCCTGTCTGTGGGGGATGGAGCACCAGATCTCATTTCAGGGCTGGCAACACAAAACCTATCAACATCAAACAAACTGCCTATTCAGCTCTAAAGAAAAAAGGCCAAAAAAAAAAAAAAAAAAAAAAAATGCCGCCTTGGCTTTTAAAGACTCAAGTCTATTGATTTCATGTCCTGCCCCTTTGTGGCCCCCAGAACCAATGCAAAGAGAACAGGTGGGGGGTAGTGGCCAGAGCTTTCTGAACAAAGGCCCAATTCTCTGGCCAGAAGTAGCAGCCTATTTCCTCACTACCACAGTCAACATGTTTGGGTACTGGCTGGGCCCAGAGCTGGGAAGCGAGGGAAGGAAGATTTGTAGGGTTTGATGG